CCTATATATGCAAATTCAGACCGATATTTCAATAATTAATAATTTTTTATGAATTTTTAATGTCCTTGATCAGCACGACACTTAGTAAAAATGTGTCGTGCTGATGATTTTCCGTAGTTTTAACGGCAGTTCTGGACAGTTCTATATAAGTTCTATCTTTCAGAAACATTTTTATGCACAGTTCCGACAGATTACTATTTTTTAAATAATTTTGTACAATAACTCAGCATAACTCTCCCTCTACAGTAAAACGATGTCAAAATTATTCTTATTCAAATCTTAATTAAAACACAGTACATAATAATTTTAAAGTACATAATAGTAAAATAAATAATAGTTTTTAGCCATAAACAGAAAAGAGAACTTTTAATGAATTACTAATAAATGAAGTACTAATAAACGCTAATAAATCAAAAAATCTTTTATTTTTTGTTAATTTTAAATAAATTTTAGTTGATTAGAATTTAATCGATTTAATCTTATTATCAAAATATATATTTTTAAAACTTGAAAAACTATGAAAAAATATATTTTAACTAATTGTAAATTTTGTTAAAAAAAATATACAAATTAATTCGACTTCAGATAAGAACATTTTGTTGACTAAAAAAATGTTACCAAATTCTTATATATAAAGCGGATTCTTTCAAGTTCCTTTTTAGAATCTCGAAATTATAGATCCGGATTTCTGTCATGCTCACATTCAATCAAGATTAAATACAAGTGATTTAATTATTTCTATTTATGTATGCCACGTACATATCATTCGTCGTCATTCTTCATGTATGTACCCAATACGTTAAGTTAGATCCGGGAGTGGAGAATGACGATGCGAATGAAGGTTGTCGAGAAATTGGTCGCGATATGTAATGCTGATTTTTAGTTTTGGTTTCGAAATCAGCTAATACTAAATTTGAATGCGAAAAGTATCTGAAGCTTATGAATTTTACAACTTTTACACCTGTAACATTACGTTGTTGTACCAGTGAAACAAGCAATTCTGATAACCACTAGGTCTCTCTCTCTCTCTCTCCCTCCCCCTCTCTCCCCCGCTCTCTCTCTCCCTCTTTGTACTCTCACGTCTCTCTACTTTCACCTGAAACTCCGCAAATGGTTACATCCGCCAACCTAAGAAAGCTATGCCCTATTTACGATAATTTATTAAACCAGAGACGAGCCGTGCGCATGAATTTTTTTATGCAGTTATATCGTCTAGTATTTATAGGGGTAATATTATACTGAGTCTAAGAAAAAATATTGATTAGAACTGAATAAAAATAAAAATCAATATATATATTGTTAGATGAATTTAAAGTCAAACTTTATTTGAAAAAAATTTGATGCTATTACTTGTTCTTTATTTTTATCTTTAATATTTTTTATTTTGTTTGTTATTTTTTCTTGATTTATAAAAAACACTTATAATCTTCATGTAAAATGATTATTATAGGTATTACTAGCTTTTAAAAAAAATTCAAATTTATATTAAACATTTAAAATTAACTTTCTCATTAGCAAATTTTTTCTTATTTTTTTAATGTTATAGAATTACATTTGGAATCCAGGGAGAATTAAAAATTTTAAAACTCATATTTGTTTCTATATTTTTCATAATTATTTATAACTGAAATAGAATTTCATGCGAAATTTGAATAGTTCTCTAAAAAACAAAGATAGATCGATTTAGCCATTTAATAACGACAACATTTTTTTATCTTCCTTATAATTTCAATTTTAATTTTCTGCAAATTGTGATGAATTTATTCATTTTAGAATTCAACCTTACAATTAGTATTTAGAAAACTACATTATATTGGAAATAATTATTTTTATTCTTATATTCCAAAAAGAATTACCTTTTGTTGAACTGTATAATTGGCATTGAGAAAATGGAAAATATTGAGTTAGCTACAACATGAAGAGAAACGAGAGCATGATTAAATATTGGGGCGAAAGAAATAGTATTGTCACTCGAATAGAGTATAGAGAAGTTATTCGCTTGTCGGTATATACATGTAATATATAAATTATTTAAAATGAATTGAGGAAAACAGGCAAAAAAAATATAAATTATTTATTTCCTCGTTCAGTTTTTATTGAGAGAGAGAGAGAGAGGGAGAGGGAGAGGGGGAGAGAGAGAGAGAGAGAGAGAGAGAGAGAGAGAGAGATTTAAAATACTTTAAAATAAAGTACTTTAAAATAAATATTGGTATATTTTGGTACTTTAAAGTAAATATATTTTATGTATCAATATTGCTTAAAAAAAAATAAAAATATTTACATTCATACACATTTACGTGTGTATGTAAATATATACACGTTTATTTGTCTATTTTTTGATTTATCTGAAGTTTATCTGAATATTTCAAACATTGCATGGCAGGCAAAACTATTTTAGACAAAATTTGTGAAATTTTGAGAGGGAAAAAGAATTGGTGATTTTAAATTTTATCTAAAATTATTTTTCAAAATCGCAAAACAATTTTTTTAAAGAAACAGAAGTATTTTTTTATGTTTTTAAAAGATCATTCAATTTTACATAGAAAAACCACTAAGATATAAGTTAAATCTAATACTTAAGGAGTTTACTTAGCAATGAAAAATGTAACTTTGTTAATTTCAACAATGATGCGCGCGATTTTATGTGTGTGCTTATCTGCATGCATATGAATGTAAGTATATAAAAATTCTCAGCATTATTCTGCTGAGAATAAAGACGAACATAAGAGCTAAATGGAAACTGGTCTTCTTCGACGATAAACTTTAAAGTTTTTCAAGAATATAAAACTTTAGTCAAAACTCAGACAACAGATGAAAAAAAATTGAAATTTTTATAGAAAAATGACATTCGATAGGAAATCTAGAATGGAAATGAAACACTAACGTCTAGTTGCGGGAGATGGACATTTCGAACATTTAATTTAGTTATTGTTAACATTATTATTCAATTAAAAATTACGAGAAAGATAATCATAGAACTCTTTTATTTTTCTCCAACTTTGAAGGCCCATAACTTTATAGGAAAGCATTTCTGGATCGATATTCATAAGAATTTTTTTCTTTACTCTTTCGTTGCTGTAGGCATTTCAAAATTTTGGTAATTATATAGAGTGGCCCCGAACGTTTCAGCCAGACTTTGAGATTTTATAGGAAATTTAATTCTGAACAAAAAATTTCCGATAAACATGGGTCGAAAAATGCTTCCTTAAGAAGTTATCGTTCAAAAACCTCTGATGAAGGAAAAGGTGCAATGAAAATGAAATAAAAAGAAAATGAAACTAAATAAATTTCTTGAAAAAAAACGATAAAAATAAAAAGTAAAAATCTTTTTCTTTTATGAAAATAAAATATTATATTTTTTTTAAACTAATATTTTAGTAGTAGCATGTAATAGTAGAAAATGAATAAAGACGTTTTTCAAGAAATTTATTTAGTTTCATTTTCTTTTTATTTCATTTTCTTTTCACCTTTTGCTCTTCCTTCATCAGAGGTTTTTGAGCGATAACTTCTTAAGGAAGCATTTTCCGACTAATGTTTATAGGAAATTTTTTGTTCAGAATTAAATTTCCTATAAGATCTCAAAGTCTGGCTGGAACTTTCGGGGCCACCCTGTATACTATTGGTGCTTTAAGTTCAATTGTTATCACTTAGATGATGCTTTTTGGCGTTTTTAAGCGTTCAGTGTTTATATTATTATTATTCCAAATATCTTCATACTAGTAACTAATACGCGATGCACGACAAATAAAAAGTTTATAAAAGTCTATAGCGATCACGGCTAAATATGTGTCGTCTGTCACACGCGCTCCGTATCAGACTTCGCTGTAGCGAAAGCGTTAAAGTCGTTCAAGAAATTAGTTGCTGGAGTTTTATAGACATTACTTAGGAAACCTTGTCTATTTACGCAGATAGGAAACATGCACAAATTATACGCGAACGTGAGTATATAGTCAATGTAGTGATTTTTTGAAAAAAGAAAGAAAAAAACGATGTATAATATATAATCTTGTTTTTAATAAAAAATTATGTATAATATTCAATTATAACGTAAAATGTATACGCGTGCACTCTTATTATAAATACATATATTTCTTAATATACATATAACTAAAAAGAAACAAAATATTTTTTTCATAAAATGTTTTTTTTGTTTTGAGAAAACGTCTTTTAATTTTTTTCAGATATTTAATATCTTTCTGATTTTGCAAGTTGATTTTTCATTATTTTTGACTTTTTTGATGATAGATTTAAACTAATTACTTACTATTTTAAATGTAGATTGCGCATTTCAATTAGTTACATAGTTATGCAATTTTTAAGTAAATAAATTTTTAAATAAATCTATAAATAAATAAATCTTTAATTAAATAATTTTTAATTAAATAAATTTTCTATAAATAAATCGAAATGAACAATCATCAAAATGACATCAATTGAATTTGAATTGTTTTTATTATAAATACAAAAACAAAGTTTGTAATTTTTAAAAATATAGTGAGTCATTGTTAATATAATAAAAAAGTTTTTTAAATTTTTATCTGTTTATCTTTTTTCTTCTCGAAAATAATTTTAATGAATTAATGAGATTTTTATGATTAAAATGATATCAATTATTTTAAAAAGTTTTATTATGCATCTAATTGAAAACTATTCGAATTATACCATGTTTATAATTTGCTGCAAAAGTTTCATTAATGCAGTAAAATTATTTTCAAAAAAAGATAAATTATATTAAATATATTCTGTAAAGAGAATTTATTATTATATTAATAAAAAAATATGAAGAAAAATACTATATTATATTTAAAAAAAATAAAAAGAAGATTTTTATCAATGAAAGAAACGTGTTTTTTCAATATTTATTTCCTAGAAAACAAAACAAATTTTTTTAAATATCTTATAATATTTAATATACATACATAATATACATAATATTTAAATACAAACATAACATACATATACATAAAAAATATTAATGTAAACAATCTTGTTTATTGCAGAGATACGTAGATTGTACAGTATTGAATGTAAGCAGTATGCCAGATGCTGAAGATTCCTCATATGACAGTGATTACGAAGCTGAGGACTTAATGACGACAACGACGATGACAATGACAACAATGATGACAACGACAACGATTGCACAGAGTTCAGAACCGCAGATATCTCCCGCAGCGCATGCTGATATCTCTCGCACTGCATCCGATACTCTAGCAGCTGAGTTCGCAGAGTACGTCACTATGGATGGATCTTCGACCACACAAAACCCCGGTAAAATAAGAAAACTTTCACCTAAAGTTTTTCTTTTCAAATTCTTCTGAAATCACTATAATTTATATAAATTTAATAATAAGTGAGAATATAAATTTAATAGTAAGAGAGAAATTCGAGAAAGATATTAATGCCAGCAAAAACTTAAAAAAAATTTTAAACAGATACAGCGCTATTAGAATATATACAGGGTGTCCCAAAACTCATAATCAATCTTTCAAAGACAAATTCCTGGGATCATTTGGAAACGATTTTTCCTCAACTAAAATATCGAGGTGCTAATAATTTTCGAATGAATAAGTGATTGGAAATAAAGGTTTTTTCGTAAACTAAGTTTTGTAGAAATAAAATATTAACAAGTCATATTCTTCGATTAATTTTAAATAGAGTTTACTTTAGTTGAATTTTAATTTAAGGCTTAATTGCAAAGATATATGATGACAAAAATCGGGAACATGCAAAAAATGATGGCCTTTATCGACATTTTTGCTGAGGAAAAATCGTCTCCAAATAATCCCAGAAATCTGTCTTTGAAAGATTGAGTATGAATTTTGGGACACCCTGTATAGACGAGCAAAGAAAGTCCCAGTAAGTACTGTTTGTTGCAGTAATATAACAAAGAAAAAAATAATATAATGCGAGTTATCTGATACAAAACTAATATATCGTACGCATTATTTTGCAATATTACAACAATAATATAACAAAATATTATTGCAATATAATATTATTACGTACATATTTCCTCATTTGCTGTTATGCGGCAAAAATTAAACTTAATAAATTCGTATTTAATTTTTCACCATGAAATGGATATACATGATTATAAAAGATGAGGACTAGCATAAGACCTAAAGTATTTTTTTGCCAGTTTAATTTTTAATATAAACCCAATAAGGAATTCAGAATATTTAAATAGATTATTTGAAATTGATCTAGTAAATGTGAGAAATAATCCATTTAGTACCTATTTGAAGCAAAAAATCCAAATTTCTAATAATTTTATAAATTGTATAAATTAAATACGATACATATAATTTATTTTTTTATTCAATTATCAACTTTGTATGAGATCAATATTCTATAATATGAACTGATAAAATGAACTGATTATAGATAAGTATAACTTCGATGTAACATTATTAAATTAACAAATTGATTCAAAATAATAACTATTATGAAATCGAAATAGTAAATTAATACCATATAAGAGCCAAAAAGTAGTAATTGAAGCACAAAAAAGAAGAGAAAATATCTTCATTTTTCTCCTTTATTTATTCACTTTTTGTCAAATATATATTAAATATGTTTTGAACCATTTTTAGCATGATAATATTAATGTTAAGCATATCGGATAATAATACATAAAATTTCATTAATCATTTCATCATTAACATTTCATAATCAAGCACAAAACCAAATAAAAACTATAATGCTGTATTCCATAGTACTCTGGTGAACACATCCCCCCAAACAATTCTATTCACTGTACTAATGCTCATAAGGTACCTTAATATGATAAGTTCCGATACATCTATGTTTTTATGTCAAAGTAAAAAACAGAAATGCAGAAAACCATTAAATAGAAATTAAAATCAAAAGATAGTCAGGAAAATGACTCATCAGAATCTGCGTTTACACAATGTACACAAATTAATTGGACAATACAGAACGCCATTGTGTTGACACGAGATTATTTTATACTGACCTTGATGAACTTCATAGTTTTATTAAAGTTTAAATATAGTGCCGAAATATTTATGTAACAATTTATAATATATAAAATCTCATGCAAGGATTGTGATACGTCATGTGCGTTCAAACTGTCAAACTGTAACGATGTGTTTAGCGCACCGTCACTAACTGGTCCCCGGACCGATCATCCGTCCAATCGAGACGTCTTTGACACCCCTAATTAACACTGGTAGCCATCCCATGCGGTATACTATCATCATGCGCTATAGCACGAATAAGAAATTCACCTATGCGTGCTGGCGATATACAGAGTGATCCCGAACCTTCCACCCAGAGTTTGAGATCTTATAGGAAATTTAATTCTGAACAAAAAATTTCCTATAAACATAGGTCGAAAAATGTTTCCTTAAGAAGTTATCGCTCAAAAACCTCTGATGAAGGAAGAGTAAAAGATGAAAAGAAAATGAAATAAAAAGAAAATGAAACTAAATAAATTTCTTGGAAAAAACGATAGAAATAAAAAATAAAAATCTTTTTCTTTTATGAAAATAAAATAATTTTTTTTAACTAATATTTTAATAATAGCACGTAATAATAGAAAATGAATAAAGACGTTTTTCAAGAAATTTATTTAGTTTCATTTTCTTTTTATTTCATTTTCTTTTCACCTTTTGCTCTTCCTTCATCAGAGGTTTTTGAGCGATAACTTCTTAAGACATTTTTCGATCCATGTTTATAGGAAATTTTTTGTTCAGAATTAAATTTCCTATAAGATCTCAAAGTCTGGCTGGAACGTTCGGGGCCACCCTGTATAAGCCATCCGGTCAAGGTGCCGGCATGACACCAATGATGAATGGGTTTTTTCCTGCGCAGAAACCTCCGTACGCAAGTCTAAACTGACGTCACAGATAGATGTCGTCTATTACAGATGTATATAAGTGCAACATTAGATGAGATCCCTTGCGATTTTCCTGTGTTTTTTTAGTAGTGTCATAATGCGTATTATATTAGTCGATTTGTGTTAAAAGAAACTTTGAATTTTTTTCACTCCATGTAATTTCCTTCACATTTCTTTTCTCGCTAGATATCTCATATTTGCTCGAAATATATATGTATATGTTTTTGAGGTTTCATAGAGTTTGCTTAGTGCGTATGCGTGAGAAAAATCTCACGATTGCTCATCGTTGGTCGACACTAATCCTGCTCCTGGCTGATGAGCAAGTTTCGAAGCCATTCTGAACGTGCTACCATCAGGTATCGGATGCTCCCGTTGTAATGCCAGATATTCCCAATTTCTAGTATCCTATTCGCTTGATATCGGGGGACGGATGTTTCCATGTCGGGTGTTCCCGGTTCCGATGTCCTGTCCGCTTATATCACTGGGTGACGAATGTTTTCGTTGTCGTACCGGATATTCCTGGTTTCGATACCCTATCTGTTAATGTCATCAGATGGTGACCAATGGGTGTTTTCGTTATTGTGCCAGTTATTTCTGGTTCCGGTAATGACTTCCTGTGTCCGACTTGTAAATAGTAGATCGTAAGATATTGCTTTGCTACACCGCGCTTGTAGATAGTAACTATAAGTCTTATTCCTGCTAGCTTTAAGGCCGATCTATGAAGTAAATCCTCATGATTTGTACAGGGTAACTTTCAATAAAGACTTCTGCTTTGTCATCCTTACCCATCTTGATGATAATTATTATAAACATTAACCTACAGCTTTGATGAGATTGCGGACACGTTTCGCCACCCACGTTTACTTATTTGTAACCTCTTAGATGTAAGATTTGAAGTTATAATAAAGAGTTATTATTTCCTTGCAACTGTAAACAAGTCTCCCTTCTTACGCCCGATTCCTGCCATTGGCAACTTGTTTTGGAGCGTAAAGAAAGGAGAACCATTACAAAACTAGTAGGCAACTAAAATGAATATTTGCGAACATTGGAACTACATTTATACTTCACGAAATACTTCACAACTCTCGATTTTAACGAATTATAGATTTAAATTTAATCACGAATTTAATTGAGTTTGATATTTTAGATAGTAAATTTTCGCTGGACAAATAACTCTGAAATATTTTTTTATTAAGAGATAAAAAACTAATCTGAATCTGCAGAGTGATACGGAAGGATTGCATCATACATTTGCCACAATAGTAGACTTACCAAAAATTTAAGCGCGTTTGCTCTTTTCTGATTTGTTATTGTTTTTACGATTCAACGTCGAAAATTTATATATTTATATATTTAATAAATTTATATATTTATCATTATTACAGCTCTCTCTTTTTCTTTTAAATCATCATGGAATGTACAAGACGTTCTGTATTGTTATTGTCAATTAATTTGGATAAACTAAACTCAGATTTTAGTGAGTCATTGCCTGATTATATCTTAAATTTGGTTTTTGTTTAATGGCATTCGTACCTTTTACTCCAATATAAAAACAATGAATGAACTTATCATGTTAAAACTACTGAACTATATACAGGATGGCCCCGAACGTTCCAGCCAGACTTTGAGATCTTACAGGAAATTTAATTCTGAACAAAAAATTTCCTACAAACATTAGTCGGAAAATGCTTCCTTAAGAAGTTATCGCTCAAAAACCTCTGATGAAGGAAGAGCAAAAGGTGAAAAGAAAATGAAATAAAAAGAAAATGAAACTAAATAAATTTCTTGAAAAACGTCTTTATTCATTTTCTACTATTACGTGCTATTACTAAAATATTAGTTAAAAAAAAATTATTTTATTTTCATAAAAGAAAAAGATTTTTATTTTTTATTTCTATCGTTTTTTTCAAGAAATTTATTTAGTTTCATTTTTTTTTTATTTCATTTTCATTTCACCTTTTGCTCTTCCTTCATCAGAGGTTTTTGAGCGATAACTTCTTAAGAAAGCATTTTTCGACCCATGTTTATAGGAAATTTTTTGTTCAGAATTAAATTTCCTATAAGATCTCAAAGTCTGAGTGGAACGTTCGGGGCTACCCTGTATAAACTGGAACGGAAACTGCCATTGTAAATACATAAGCGTACGGAGAGCCTGAGATAGATAGATGTTTAAGGTAGGGTATCTCGCTCACACGCATATACGCACATGCGCACAGTCTTGGACAGTACAAGCAGATCTAAAAGGATGAAATGAGACACTTGAAGATTGTTCTCTCTCAGCTCGCAAAAAACTCTGCAGTTTCCATTTCAGTTTATATATAGTTCAATGATTAAAACACTTTATGAACTAACATTAATATAATGAGTAAAACTTTTCGGGGGAAAGTGACAGTCACCAGATTATTGTGTAGTACAGCATTATATACAATTTTTCTATTTGACTTGTGCATGTCAATTGCGAAATAATTTTATGTATTTATATCCGATATATTATATTATCAGTATTATCTTTAATATTAATATTAAAATCATGCTAAAAATATACCAAAAATGATCCGAATCGTTCATATATGATTATATATTTTAAAAAAAAGCAAATATTTTGAAATATATCAATGAAACAGAGAGAACAAAAGATGTTTTTTTTCTTCCCTGCGTTCCAATTACTACGCTTTATCTCTTATTTATCAATTTTATCATGTTATAAGATATGTTGTATGTTACATTTATAAATGGGAAATTACACTTAATCAGTAACTTATTGGTAATATTTATGTATATCACTTATAAAATTTCATTTTATTACTTTCTATAATATTAATATAACAATATTTACTAATTTTTAGTTCGATTATCTATGCTCAGTTCCCAGTATCTTTTTCATTCATATCTCTACAAAAAAAGAATAGATTAAAAAGAGAATCAAGTTTTATACATAGTTTTATATGAATAAAAAAATATACCTAACTTCACCATACACAGGTTATACCGCTCGAGTAGAGTTCGCCCTGAAACTGGGCTATACCGAGAGATTGGTACAAGCAGCTTTACAAAAACTGGGTCCGGACCCTGGTCAAAACGAGCTATTAGCCGAACTGATTAAGCTTGGAGCAACTTGTTCTCCGAAATTCATTGACGGTTCCGACGAAGCTGACAACTTGCTAGATACTGAAGTGGACACCGACGAAGGCGAAGGATCACTTTTAACTTCGACGATAACAAATGGAGTCTTCTCTATTGATTTAAAACCTATTGTTATCGATGGCAGCAATGTCGCCATGAGTCATGGTAACAAGGAGATATTTTCTTGTCGTGGCATCAAAATATGTGTCGACTGGTTTCGTGCCAGAGGTCACAAAGAGATCACAGTCTTTGTTCCTAAATGGCGGAAAGAAGCCTTTAGACCCGATAATCCGGTTGCTGACCAAGAAATCTTGAGTGAGCTTGAAAGAGATCGTTTACTGGTGTTCACACCTTCTAGGTTAGTGAAACAAATGCATGAAATTTGTTTAAAAAGTTAAAGTGGTTTAAATATCATATATTCAGAAATATATTTTTTTTGTTTTAAAAAATTACTTTATACAATTTATTAATCTTTATAAATTAAATAATAATATACAGAGTGGGGCATTTATAGTGACACAAGCAATTTTTTTGAAAACGAAGCGAGATATAAAAAAATGTTTTAGAAAGTTGTATGATTTGAAGGGGGACATAAGATGTGCCATTAGTTTGACCTTGAAGAGTCACCTAAAGGTCATGTGAAGATCACCTCCAATTTTTTAAATGGGACATCTTATATGCTTTTGCATATTCTTGTAGCTCATCTCGAGAGCTTTCCAAAACGCTATAATTAAATTAGGGTAAATGTTTACTTCACGTCACACAGCTCGAAAAATTTTTATTTTTAGATATGTTGTAGAGGACACATTCTTAAGTAATACACCGTTTAAATTTTGTGGCGCTCTCTCTTCGTTCCTGAGATATGCAATTTTAAAATTTCATACTTGTATTATCTTTCGTTACTTTCTAAATATGTTTATACTTTTGTGTTTACACTTCCAGATTCATCTTTCTGAATAACTTTCAGAAGGTTTAGCCGCTCATTGTTATTTATTAAATAGTTATTAACAAACAAAATTTCAAAAATAGAATATTGTTAGAGCACGTGGTCGTGGTTATCGTGAAGAATAAGATTAAACTTAACACACTTCTCAGAGAAAAGTATACTTTATTGTTAAGCTTATTTGAACTTATAATTAGAGTTATGTAAACTTTAGTTTTTGGTAAATCTTTGGTTTATATGTTAAACTTTTGATACGGAAGCGACAAGCGCACGTCTGCACACGTCGGTGCACGGGAAGAGACAGAGAAAAATGTAAGAGCCGCGCGGCAAGCGCAACGGCAGCGCCAGCTAGGCATTGTGACCAACCTCGTGACATAAAAAGAAACTGCGGTCACAAAATAAATTTTTACATATATCCAACACTTCCCCTTAAAAATTTAAAAAGAAATAAAAGACAAAGGAGAGACACAAATTTATGAAAATGAACCTAATGACTCTATGCATTTATAATGCTTATTTAAGGGTAGTGCCTTAGTAAATATATCAGCAATCATCTCTGCGCTACACAAATAGTTCAATCTTATTAGATGATTCTTTAAAGCCTCACGCACAAAATGATGCATGACATCAATATGTTTTGTCCTCCCATGATAAACTGGATTCTTTGCTAGCTCTTGTGCGCTGGCACTATCATTGTAGATTGTTAGCGTAGAGTGCTTCTTTAATCCGATCTCTGTCAAAAATCTCTGTAGGTAGATAGCCTCCTTGGTAGCTTCTATTAGACCCATATATTCTGCTTCAGTGGAAGAAAGTGCAACAGTCCGCTGTTTTCTCGACTCCCATGTAATTGATGCATGACTGAGAAAGAAAACAAATCCTGTATATGAACGTCGATCATTTATACAGTTACCCCAATCAGAATCCACATAGCCCTTAAGGCTTTCTTGACTTGGGCTGTAAATCAATGACATCTCCAATGTTCCTTTGAGATATCGTAAAACTCTCTTTGCTGCAGTCCAATGTTGTGGTTCATAATAACTGTTGAACTGACTTAAGTAACTTACCGCGTAGGCAATATCTGGCCGTGTACTCACTGCCAAATACATTAAACATTAACTCACGATAAGGGATATCCAAAGCCTCTGGATGATTTTCTTGTTTGGATAACTTCAAACTTGCCTCCATCGGAGTTTTTGCTGGGTTTGCATCCTTCATGTTGAATCTAATAATTAAGTCTTTAATATATCCTTTTTGGTTTAGAATAATACTGTTATTCTTTCTAGAAAATTCAATTCCTAAACAATACTTTATTTCTCCTAAATCTTTGATTTTAAGTACTTGACTTATATGATCCTTGAAGTCTTATATTTTACTTAAATCCTTTGACGCTACTATTATATCATCGATGTTACATATGTAAGTATTTTAGTGCGCGGACGCAACAATATATATATACGTTCTTAAGAAAGGTATAACTTTGTTTTGAAATTTTCTACTAAAATCAATATTTATTAATATAATGAAAACATATACAAAAAAGCTTTCTTTTTTTTGACCTTGAAGATGACCTTGCCTCACCAATTTTCATTGTCATTCGTAATGAACGCATCGAAATACACTAATAAGTAAAATTTCAGAACAATTGGAGATATGCACTTTTCAGAATTTTATCCGATATTTTTATCTTCAATAATTTAAATCTTCTCTTTCTTTTATATTATCGCAATTTTTTGTTTACATTTAAGAAATTTTTTTACTTATGCATCACTTAAATTATATTTTTAAACTTATATGTATACACACACTTTCCATTTGTAACTTTCCACGTAAAGCCTCCAAACTAAATTTTAATTTTTCGTCATAATAGGTTTGGATTAGGTTAGATCTTTTGGTAGTGGCCCTCCCCCTCGTAGGGTGATATCTATTGTATCCATACATATACTTTCCATGCGAATGTTAGACTAGGACGATAAAGCATTCCAAAATAGTAAATAGGTTTACAATTTAACGACTTATTTTTTCTTCATTTTGACTTCGAAAATAACCTTGTCAATTTTCATTGCCATATTCATAATCAGCGCGTCGATTACATTAATATATAAAATTTTGTGTCAAATACATTAATACATAAAATTTCAGAACAATCGGAGATATGCACTTTTCGGAACTCAAAAAATATCTTTTTTATAAATAAATTTCATTCCAACGTCTCACTGTGTCCGGATATGTTTTGTTATCAATTAATATAATACAAAACTGGAATAACCAACCTGATATTAATTTATATATCTTAAATTATAATTAAATTGTTTCAAAAATCTCCCATCCTACATATTCTCTGCTTTTTTTCTTTATAAATTATTTTTTCATAAGATTTTTTTATATTGTTATCAAAGAAAAAAAGAATTATACGATTTTGCACATTATATAAAATACAATTTAAGATTGGAAATTAATTTAGGTAAAATATTTAATTAGATTACACAACACGAAAAATGTTTATTTTAATATATGTATATTGTAGAAGATACATTTCTAAGTAATACACCGTTTGAATTTTGCAGCGGTCTCTGTTCGTTCCTGAGATATGCGATTTTGAAATTTCACACTTACGTGTATCATCTTTTCATTATATCTTATTTATGTATTTACAATTTAATATTATGGTAGAATTATATCTCCTACATAATCTATAAGATAAATATAATTTAATAAAGTATAAAAACTGCACTTTATTTTACCTGAACTTTTAATAAGTGTTTGCATATAACTTCCTTCGTTTTGCAAAGTATGTATGTGGATACCGTAAGTTCCGACCTCCGCTACAAGGGGCCCCACTTCATGAAGATATAACCTAACCTAACCCGTGTTTGAAATGTAGAATATACTTGGCTTTACATAAAAAATTGCAAACTTATGTAAAGCTATATGAACCATGTGAAGCGAGATATATTTCATACGTTACACAGTTTGAGTTAGGTTAGTCTTTTTTAAAGGTACAGAGGGGCTCCGCTCCTCTCTCGTCTACGCGTTTACTTAAAAAGTAAATGTAAACAAAAAAAACATATAAACACACTTTCCAGATAAATTTGCACGTTCTATGCGAAGCCAGGTATTTGCCACATTTCAGATAGGTTGGGTTAGGTTATATCTTCCGAAAGTGGAGCCCCCTCGTAGAGAGAGCAGAACCCACGGTGTTCATGCATGTATTTTGCAAGACGAAGCAAAGTTACATACAAACATATATTTTATTAAACATATATATTTCTTAAATGTACATGGTGTAAAATTATGTTCTATTCATGAAACTTTTTTTCTTCATTAACTATTTAATAAATAACAAGCAGCTAAAACCTTCTGACAGTTATATAGAAAGATGTCCTCGATAAATAAAAAAATATAAACATATTTAGGATATAATGAAAAAATACAAGTAAATATGAAATTTCAAAATTGCATATCTCAGGAACGAAGAGAGACCGTTGCAAAATTCAAATGATATTATTTAGAAATGAACTTTCTACAATATATGTCAAAATAAAAATTTTTCGAGCTGTATAACCTAAAGTAAACATTTACTTTAATTTATTACATATTATATTTTAAATCTATCTGTGTACACATATAAATAGACAAATCTATTATTTTAAAATATATTATTTAATATAATATTTATAAATAGACAAATATATTATTTTTTAAAACTTAATAAGATTAACAACATTTTTATATATCATGTCACATTATACAAATTTCTGCAGATTGGTAGGCGGGAAACGTATGGTATGTTATGATGACCGATACATCTTAAAGTTGGCTGCCGAAGTCGATGGCATTGTCGTCAGCAATGATAACTATCGGGACTTAGCGCAAGAAAACCCTGAGTTTAGAAAAGTCGTTGAAGAGAGAATCCTTATGTACAGTTTTGTAAATGACCGATTCATGCCACCAGATGATCCGTTAGGTAGGAGTGGACCTACGTTGGAAAACTTTCTCAGGATCACTCCCAAAAAGGTTGACCCAGCACTTCCATGTCCGTATGCTAAGGTAATTTTCCTTTTATTTATTTCCACTATGCCACACTGCTTTTGAAAATTTTGAATTTAAAACTTAAAGTTATTAAGGACTATTCCATGTCTAACACCCTTTTTGCAATCACGAAAATTAGCAAAATTTGCAAAAATAGCTGACGCTTATTATGTAATCACATGTATCGAGTCGTTCCTTGAAATATCACATGGTTGCCTATCTGCGAGGCGTAGTGTAAGAAATTTAATACCTTAGAGATAAATTGAAACAATCATAGAAAAATATCGAATAGCGTATTAGTCACATAAAAAAAGAGCGATTATAAAATACGGAAATGCAAGGAATCCACGATTAATACGATTTATTCTTATCGAAGTAATAGACATAGCGTAGTAAAACATAGCGAACTCATATAACAGGACGTACATTTGCGCGTGATAAATAATCATTTTGCGAGATATCGAAAGCTAGTCATTACAGTGAGACTTGAAGAGACATGGCTACGGAAAAAGCTTTAGGATCTTTTATTGTACTTGTGATCTGAGTATAATAAATCAAAATCTGTATATAAGATTCTGTTAAATCAGACAGAACACGAACATCCGAAGAACATCCATAAAACGTCTTTTGAGGATATTAAGGATATCTAGGACCATCTGTCTTACATCTTTTAGATATTCTATGGACATTCCGTGATATATCCGTTTATGGAATTGGAGGATTTGCTTTAATCTCTGATATGATAAAAGAGAGAACATTCGGAATTGTAATTTACATTAAAAGAATGAAAACATATAAGTATTTTAAAATAATATATTTATTTTATAAAAATTATATTTTATACTACTTTTTATTACATTAATTAAACAAACATCTTAAAGTACTTTGTATTATACTACTAATCTATCTATTTTATATAAAATTAAAAATTTAATTATTTATATGTATATTTGAAATTTAGTTATTTATATGTATATTGAACTTTACATCTTAAGTAGATAATGAATGGATGATTTTTATTTATTCGGCGGACATTTATTTGTCCGATTTATAAAATCAATTTAACATCTGAAATTCCCACTAAGATCAGAAATTAAATCGAAGGAGTATATCTTTTACCTTATTTGTCGCTTTTTGCAAGCTTTATATAATTCTTTACTAAAACTTAGCAACATACGAGATAGCGCATTGTACGTAGCAGTAAACGAACGAACTAATAATCATATAAAATCATATATTTATTTATGCTCTTTTATTTATTTATTATTTATTTACTTAAATATGTAACTTTTATGTGAGAACAGCCAATACTGAAATATTTATCACATATATATACACATATACGTACATGATTGCAAATAGTATCGCGCTCCCGCGAAAACTTTGACGTCCAAGACCAGACATCCTGTGAACATCCAAATATTGCCACTAACGAATGTTTCGAATTGAATATACGATGGATGTTCATTTCATGTTCATGGACGTGCGGACGTAAAATAGACATAAAATGAACACCCATAGGATATCTTGTGCTGTCTGGATAATTCATTCAAGATTACTCCAATTTCTGCAAATTCTGATCACTACGGCGTCTTAAGGAGATTTCATGTACTTCAATCATACTTATCTCCGATTATTCTCCTACATATTCAATTAGAGAAGGATTTGTTACATTATTATTATAATTAAGGAGAGAGGGAGGACAAAGACGAAGGGTTTTAGGTATTTAAAATGTAAAAGTATTATGTCTGATAAAAGTAATAAATTGTAAATTTAAATCAATATTTCTCAATATTTGTAGTTTAAGTAAATTGATGTGTAGAGTTTTCTTAGAGATAACTTTCCCACAGGATGTTCTTGTGATTGTTACGTAAGTACTACGTACGGATATATTATATATATATATATATATATATATATATATATATATATATATACAGGGTCTACCAAAAGTGTGGAAACCCCTAAATATCTCGGAAAATATACGTTTTACAGAAAAGTGTTTCCAACAAAAGTTGTAGGGTTTAAGAAGATCTATATACTGATTCTATCAGTTTGACCTTGGATGGCGTCGTCAAGGTCAGGTCAAGGTCACATTGACTTTTTTAAATGACACCCCCTACATTTGATTGCATATTCTTATAGCTTAATTCAAGAGCTTTCCAAAACACTATAATAATGTTCATTTTTATTAAGTACTTTGCGAGTTATGAGGGTTGAATGATAGAGTAGCGCCGGTATTAACATTATCCAAGGTGTACTACATGGAGGTTACTCGCTCGGATTTACATCTGTTGTGTGTGTGATCCAGCTAACTAAGGCAAGATCGGTCGTGGATCCAGTCAGCAAAAGCAAAGACCCAACCAAATTACAATCGAGCATTTAAAGACCTGGAAAGCAATCGACATAGTAAACAGTAAATAAATTTGTGGATGCTCATTTATCATAATAATTGTTCGAAATGTGTGCGTGTGCGTGCGTGCGGTGCGTGTATACAGAGATCAGGTTAGGTTGCACCAAACGATTGCAAATGTGTTTCAATGTGTTAAAGTAAATGCTGAAAGTGGCTGCCATTTACTTCCTGACAATATGCTAATCTTTGGTAGAATGTAGAAATGACTTTACGATTCGTTTCAAAAGGTATCAAAGCCATTTCATCCCTTATTCGCTGTATCAATTCGTGAATGGTTTTAGGTTTTGTTCTGTAAACCTTACTCTTCAGATATCCCCATAGATAATAATCAAGAGGAGTTAGATCTGGTGACCGAGGTGGCCAATCCTCTCCTCCCTCATTTCCGTTCCTTCTTCCTATCCACCGTAGCGGAAAAGTCTCATTTAAAATACGACGTGGTCCTGCACCAAAATGAGCAGGAGCTCCATCATGCTGAAACCATATTTCTTGGAAATTATTTGGAAAAGTATTCTGTATGGCTGGAATTATTTGATCAACAAGTAATCTCTCATACCTTTGAGCGTTCAAATATTCTTCAAAAAAAACGGCCCTATTAAATAGCCATCTATTATTCCGCACCATACATTTATTTTTTGTGGATGTTGTGTGTGAGTTTCCCGCACCCAATTCGGATTCTCATCTGACCAGAAACGAAAATTTTGATTATTAACTTCTCCCGTTAAGGTAAAAGTGTCGGACATCTGTGCCATATTTCCGGATTCATTCTTTCGTTAAATTCTTCCGTTTTGCAATTCTTGAACGTATTGCAATTTATATGGATGGAACTTGTTCTTCTTTAAAATTCTCCAAACCGACATGGGAGCAATATCGTGAGTTTGAGCGACTCTCTGAACACTAGAATTGGGATCTTCAATAAATGTCTGCAGAACATCAAGTTGTTTTTCTTCGTTGGTTGCAGACAATGGTCTTCCTGACTTAGAGCGATTTCTTACGCTACCAGTTTGTCTAAAACGTTCTATTGTTTTTAACACAGTGGACTTATTAATTCGACGGTTCGGATACGTGTCATTAAATAATCGAACGACATCAGAGAACGATCTTTCGTTATCACCCCATCCACGCATCATGAGGATAGTGATTCTTTCACGTTCCGACAAGTCGCCAGCCATTTTTAAAACGTTTAATTTTAATTAATCGTACGTTGTATTTGGACGATAACAATTAATTTCTGCTTGCTCAAAGCTGAAGTTAGAAGGTGCTCGTTCTTTGATAGCTTTATACATTCTTAGTTGAATTTTAAATGCGAGTTAGACTGCATGTAGTGCGTCACATAGCGGTAAATGAAGGAACTAACGAGACGTTTCATACACGTTTTATGGAGCAATTTTTTGGCAATTTGACTTCAGCGAAATATGAGGATATGTTGAGGAATCGATCTTGCCTTAGTTAGCTGGATCACACACACAACAGATGCAAATCCGAGCGAGTAACCTCCATGTAGTACACCTTGGATAATGTTAATACCGGCGCTACTCTATCATTCAACCCTCATAACTCGCAAAGTACTTAATAAAAATGAACATTATTATAGTGTTTTGGAAAGCTCTTGAATTAAGCTATAAGAATATGCAATCAAATGTAGGGGGTGTCATTTAAAAAAGTCAATGTGACCTTGACCTGACCTTGACGACGCCATCCAAGGTCAAACTGATAGAATCAGTATATAGATCTTCTTAAACCCTACAACTTTTGTTGGAAACACTTTTCTGTAAAACGTATATTTTCCGAGATATTTAGGGGTTTCCACACTTTTGGTAGACCCTGTATACATACATACAGGGTAGACCATTTTAATCAATACACGCGAATATCTTAGAAACACTGCATTAAATCGAAAAATGTTTCAGGCAAAAGTTGTATGGCTTGAAAGGGGACATAAGATGGTGCCATTAATTTGACCTTGAAGAATCACTTGAAGATCACGTGAAGGTCAATTCCTTTTTAAATGGGACACCCTATATACTTTAGCATATTCTTGTAGCTTGCCTCAAGAGCTTTCCCGAACACTATAATAAAGTATTTTGAGTACTTTTCGAGTTATGAGACTTGAAATAATTTTTTAATTTTACATAAATCGTAAATTATCTTGTAAAATATTCATTTTTCAATTATCTTACCATATTTATGCACAAAATAATGAGAGGAATCGATTCAGTCCTTTAGGTGACTCTTCAAGGTCAAATTAATGGCACCATTTTATGTCCCCCTTCAAGCCATAGAATTTTTGTCTGAAACATTTTTCGATTTAATGCAGTGTTTCTGAGATATTCGCGTGTATTGATTAAAATGGTCTACCCTGTATATATATATATATATATATATATATATATATATATATATTGTTACGGCCCTGATGTCCGTGTTCGGGACGGCGCCGATTAACGAGAAGAAGCGCGTTGTCAAGAGATTGTTGATAGCAGCGTCTGTCATCTGAGTTCGGTTCCAGCTGTCAAGCTGCGCGGACGCGTTTCTGTATCGTGCCGAGCCGGATTGCTAATATTGTGCTAACGTTCTGTGTTACCGTTTGTAGTGTTCTGTGTTGTAG